TCGAAATTCGCATAACATGTGCAGTCGAATAGCATTCATGCCGGGAACCATATTGGTGATCAATCTCCTCGAGTAGTTTTCTGTTCTAACAAAGTAGAACATATTCGGCACTTTCCTCTCTTCAATTTGGACATTGTATGTCACAAGGTAATTCACTTTGCGATGAAGCTCTGCAAGGAGTCTGTGCTCGTAATATCTCAACCCTTGGATCTCCTGTTTCAAGTCTCTGATTTCTTGCTCAATGATCTTCAGCCTCTGCAAAACCGCTTCAACCCCCTTGGCAATTCCACCGAAAGTTGGATCAACTTTGTCAGCCTCGTCACTTGTGGATAATGTGTTCTCCGGGTTGCTCTCGGGTGGGATTTGCAGTTCCTGAGCAAGGTTGTATAGGTCATGATATCTCCGATGGAGCACTTCACGGAAGTCATCATCTGATAGGAGGTCTCGGGCCAGATCAAACCCAGGTCCTAGAATTTGTCTTCCGGAGTCTGAGATTGGATCCCAGGTATGCTGGTAATCATACATGCTGTCTGCAGGAACAGAAAGTAATGCCTGTTTTAATTGTTGCAACGAAACAAATTGCATCTTCCTGTATCTTGGAGGAGTGAGATTTTGCACGCATTCTGGCCGTATGACATTTTCAGTCAAGGTGATACCGTTACAGAGGCTATGAATTGCTGGGATTATAAGCTGCTGGATAACCCTCAGGGTTTCTGTCAGGTTGTTGGTGGAGCATGCGAGGATATCGATGTAGTAACCCAGCTGTCCTCCCAGTTCTACTCTGATATAGATTCCATTGATAGTTATCGAGATCAGGTACTTCTCAAGGCTGTAAGTCGCTCCGTGTTGGTTCTTCAAGGCCATGATTCTGTTATGCAGATGCACCTGGGTTCACAAGCATACGAAATTTGATAAGAACAGATAGAACCAAGGGTAACTTGATGAATGTTCAGCCCATTGTAACCGTGGAATCGCTAGTCTCAAGGTACATTAACCGGTACTGGTTTTTATTGAGTAACGTGACTCATAAATCTAAAATAGTTTGGAGACAAAACTAGACAAGAATCGAAGAGAAAGTTAAAAACAAGGATTAGGGAAATTCTTGCCTGTAATCGAGGAAAGAAGCCGGGTGTGAGGAACATGTGGCTGGAATCATCACATTCAAGATGCCTCCCGGCATAAAGGGACTCCGGTCTGCTTAAGTGCCATCGTTGTGGCTTTCCTCTTCCTTCTTCAAGAATGGAGGGGATCAACAGCAAAGAATTACGATCTGAAGGGTCTTGTTCATAACATAGTTCCAGTTTAAGCATCATTCTCACAAGATCAGTTGCATCCAAGTTCTCAAATACCTTCGTACCCACTCCAGGAATCGGGCTCTGCAAGCTTCCTCTTAGAATCTTCTCCAAATCTTTCTTGCTGATGAATCCATTGTTCTCGTTGGAGTTTCGACTTCTTACATCTAGTCTTATTAGTTGGCCAAGCACCTCGCCGCAGAACCACTCACAATCTAAGATCAGAAACCCGAGCTCATCAAAATAAATAACCTCTCCTATGTGGTGAAGGCAAGTAGCAACAACCCGCCTCCTCGTTTCCACCTTCTCTTTGTTATCGTGTCTTGATCGGACTCTTAATGATGGAACCTTAACTTGGCATAGCTCGTTGAACTCCTTCCACTGCATTGCTGGCTTGTTGTAGTTCTCCGATCTCCAATCTGATAATATTTGTGTCAGATCATTGCACAGCTGATAGATTCTTGGGACTCTTTGGAGAACTGTCTTGCTTGTCTTTAGAAGGTGATGAGTGAGCTTACTCACTGATGCTGATGATCTTGCATCAACTGTGAACACCGTTGCATAGAAGTCAACAAATCCCTGGAACTTGTCTCGCAATTTTTGAATCGAGTTCACTGCAACCTGTAAGTTTTGTGACGGTTGATTGATTTTGTCATAGTGCGTGAGTACAACCGTGACATTTGGTAGCATGCATTGCTGCACTGCTCTTCTAGAGTTTGAGACTATGAACCTGAGCCAGTACTGGAGGTCCTCTTCTATCTCCATTGAGTTTTTCGGTTCTCTGTTGTTTGTTTTCCTGAATAAACTGGATACGATGACAAAAAATGACGCACTGCCATGCCCCGGGAACATGAGATCATGAAGAGAATAGAATTCATGCTGCCCAGCAAGATTCCATATTGAAATCTTTGTGTTGTCATCGTCTTTGAAAGTCTTAATCTTCATTCCAACTGTTCTAACAGCTTGCTCAACCGGGTTCACTAAAGATAGTACTTGGTCCACGTACAGAAGCTTTGAAGAAGACACACTCTGCAATATGGAATTGCACAATGTAGCTTTACCTGAAATCGAAACCCGAAATTTTTTATGAGATAAAATACAGTTGAGCCAATACAACTTTATAAAACTTTTTAACTTTCACAATTACCTGCATATTCTTGCCCACAGAAGAACACTCTACAACTTTTCGGTACTGTAAGTGGCATGTCTTTAAGCAAATCCATTTCCGGTTCAGGCTTCCCATTCTGCCCGAGTCTTTGATAGACCCCATCTGTCTTTCCTGAATTCTGCAGCGGCGTTCTTGCAAGATCAATATTTTCAAGCCAAGGATTTACCTGCAGTGTCTCCATGATTGCCTGCAGAACCTGCTCTCCTTGAACACCTTTGCAGCCCTGTAACGATAAGTGTCTCAAGCTGGCATTCTTCTCCAAGCTTTTGAAGAGTTTAACAAAATCATCGGGCCTTAAACTCTCATCATCGAATATCCCCAACCGCGTCAAACTTTCATTAGTTGTCAGCATCTGTAAAATTGCTGCAAGCCCCTCCCTTCCAATCTTGGTTCTTCCACCTCCAAGTGTTACCGATTTTAAAGTAATGTTTGCTTGATATTGCAAGGCAGAGAACCTGCTCAAAGGGCAGAGTAAATGCTCAACTCCGATACCTCCAAACGCGTTCCCATCTAAGCACAAGCACTCCAAGCTCTGGTTTTTGAAGAGTCCAGCTGCTACATACACAACCCCCTTATCTTTCAGCCAAGTTTTCGACAAGTTCACCTCTTTGAGGGTCTGGTTCTGTTCCAAAACCCACCGAAACTCCTTAGCCCACCTTGATTTCAACCGCACTCCAGTAAGGTCGAGGGACTTAACCGTTGAGTTCCACCCGAGAGCACAGGCAACCCTGCAAGCGCCCGAAAGGTCGAGCCTGTAAATCCTAAGCGTGCTGTTTTCGGGTAGAAACTCAACCACCTTCGAGCTTCTTTCTCCGTTTTCTCCACTCCAAACATGGACTTCCATGGACCTATTCCTTGCTAAAACTGCAGAAATAAGTGGAGTTGCAGTGATCGAATTCGAGTCAAATATTGTCAACACCTTCAGTGTTGAGTTCACTTCAATCATCTTCGAGAGCTCCTCTGCGCCTTTCGACCCAATAGAGTCTTCCCATATCTGCAACTCCTCCAAGCTCTCATTGACCTTAAGCGCAGAAGCAAGAAACCCGGCTCCAGCAAACCCGATACCTGATTCCGAAAACATAATCTCTTTGATCACTCTGTTCCTCTTCACGATCTCACACAACTCTGCCAGGCATTGTTTGTCAAATCTGTTTCTCCTAAACCCTACTTGCTTGATGCTCAAACTACTCTCAAGCAACGCCGAAAGATGGCGAAGCTGCTGCACGTCCCACTGAACCTGGTGAAACTCCAAGTTCATCAGAAGTTGGTTGGTTTTGGATGTTGCTAAAGCTGTGAGGAAGTGGGAGAAGAAAGAGAGGCTGTCCTCCGAAACGTTGATGTTGACGGAGTTTTCGGTTTCCTGGAAGCCGAAGGAAGAGGGTTGAGAGAGGTAGAAGGAGATGTTGTGGAGGCTGAGGCTTTCGGATTCGATGGCATCCAGAAGCCATTGGAGATCCTTGAGATTGTTCTGGCTTGTTGCCATTGCTAAACGAAACAAAAGGTCCAAAGATTTGTTTTGTGAAATTGTGATGATAATATCAGGATCAAGATCATATCAGTGACACTTTCGATAAATTGGTCGGTAAAATAATAAGAATTCGTAGTTAATTAATTGGCAAACCGCGTATTCTTTCGGTGTAAAGGTCCAGCTTTTGCCTTTTTATGGTTCATATATTCTCAACTTCTATCTCAAGGTATGTAGCCTTTAAGCCACCTTGTTTCTAAAGGTGTTATATGAAAATTTCTCTCCTTGTTTTGCACCCACTTTATTTCATTGGCACGGGATGTCACCGTAACGGTATACTTCTTTTCCATCTGAGGGGGTCAAGTCTGGTATATATGATTGGACTAGATAGGATAACATATTAGGTTCCTAGAAATGCAAACTAACTTCCAAATTTTGTCCAAGTTAAAGTTAGAAGGTGATTTAGTCATGAAGTAAAACCGTGAGGACGTAATCGATGCTTAAAGTGGACAATATCGTGCTACGGTGATGGAGCGGACCCAAAAAGTGGTCCGCCCCTGGCCGGGATGTGACAAGGCTAACCCCAGTCATCAGTCTATACACTTCAGTGTGGAAAAGTCTAGGCTAATCACTGGCCGCTTAAAAGCATAGAACAGAGGAAAAAGACAGGTTTTGAGGGTAAAAACAAATGGAGCAGTAGTCCACTTTATTGACATTTTGAGCTGTGAGCAATGCTCCTTTTCCTTCTTTTCACATTGAAAAGAACAAGGGAATCCTATAAAGCACAAGAAAAAGGCAGTTGAGTGTTGGGGGACAAATAAAAATCTCCACATGGGATTTCCAATCATTGGGACTCTACTGTTTAGTTTGAATTATGATCATCAGGGCGAGAGCAATTTTCATGAAATGAATTAACCAATGTGAAGAAAAACTTACACATGAGAATGGGCATTGTTGAACCAAAACGCCACGTGACAATGAACTCGTTTCAATGGCGCATGAGTGCAAATGTACTCAAACTATTTACATTTTCCACATAATATAGAGGAAGCAGAAAATAGCATGGGAAGAAAGAAGAGAAAACAATTGAACTTAAAAACAATGAATCAAAATGTTAAACTTATTGATGGGGTTTACCCCAGTTGGGAGTCCTATTGTTTCACACGAGTAAATAGAGAAAAACCAAATCCCAGAAGAAATATAACCACCAGCAACTTTGCAGGCTTACAGAAACGAAACGAAATAGGAAGGAAAAAAAAAAACGAAAGTTAAAAAATCAATTGCTCTATCTCTTTCGGCAGACTAACACTGGCTCGTCCCACTGGAGATGGAAGGTACATTAATTGAAACCGTCTTCCTGAGTATATATCCTGCGATCTGATGCTACACCTCAATCGAATTTTAAGAAGGGAACCTAAGTTTTCGAGGAAAAAAGCAAATCCCAAACCTTGACACAAATTTCCATGTAACTGCTTTCTCTCTGAATATGTATACTTCCAATTGAAGGAACCTCGTTAGAACTACATGATCAGTTTCCTTATAAGCTGAAAATCTTAATAAGGGAGACGTATAATATTCACAATCCTTCAATGCTTGACTGGTTTCGCTTCACCTCTTCATACCAAACAAATCACCTAAGCAGCAATTCCTGAAGTACATATCCAGCAAAAAAGAGCAGAAAAAATAAAGTGAATTCGATGAAATAACATTTAACTGTCACTCTGTCGGCATATAACTAATTTGACAAGTAAAAAGAGAAGCATTCGAAATTCTTTATATCTGTTACATATAATTTAGTTAACTTCAGCGTGCATGACTTCTAGTTAATGAAAAGTCGATTAACACCATCCAAGTCAACTTTCAACAATTTAGGTTGGGCTGCTGGCATGTTATCTCTTCACATGCATGAATGTGAACATAAAGTATGTCGTGGAATCAATGTTATTAGTATGATTGTAGAAAAGGGGGTGGTAGTTTTTCTATGTTGTGTTTAAACATGTATAACTTTCATATGAATTATTCGCAATCAAGAACGATATATCTTCAAATCAAGAATAAAAATAACTGAGCCATGGTATGCAGTCAAATCTTTCATATTCCAGAAAAGAGTTGTTCATTTGGAATTAACCTGTTCTCTTAATTCAGTTTTAAGGAGATAGTTACCTCTAATTGGTTGTCTACTGGTAACATTGTAACCTCCAATATAGCCACCAGAACTTTTGGCTGTGACGTCTGCAGGTAAATCACCCAGCCCATAACCAAACGTGCTAGAACCATCTAGATCAGGACTGCTAGAGCGCCAAGTTGAGTCGCCGTAAACTGAACTGTTCTGGTACAAGTCCCCATAAGACCCCTCATAACCAGTAGTTGATCCAGGAAATGATGATGTTGGGGCTACACAAGTGTCACCGTTTCTTCCATATCCTCCCCCTCCCAATCCAAAGCTGCTACTTCCACTTCCATAACCATTAGCACTATTATAGCCCGAAGCAATGCCTCTACTTTCAGTTGTAAAAGAATTAGCGCCCCAATTTGAGCCATTATTTCTCGCAACTTCAAAACCTCCATTTGAAGAGGTCAAGTAAGCCCCGGTACTGGCAGGGTTCAAGTTACTGTTGATGCCACTGTTTCCCCAGACATTCTGAGTAGTTGTGTTTAATACAGGACTGCTCCTCCCATTACCCACATTATATCCAACAGGGGTATTATACCTGTGTGAATTGCCACTATAAAAGGGGCTCAACATTCGTGCATATCCTAGACTACTGCCAAAGTTGGAATTACCACCATACGTTGGGCTCAACCCTGGCTCCAGATTCATACCTAATCCATATCCAGAAGGGCCAAATGGAGACAACCGGCTACGACCACTAGAGATTGGACTGAACCTGGTGTCCATACTAATGCCAAAACCTCCAATCGGGCTCATATTATAACTTTGAGCATAGCTGTTGAGGAAACTATTGGTCCTACCCGGACTATAGTTGTGTCCTATCATAGGGCTCCGGCTGGGCCCTGAGGATAGCCCTTTAGGGACTGCCCTCTTGACCTCAACCATCTTACCATTGAGTTCATGAAATGTTTTATGCAGAACTCTGTCAACAGCCTCCTCCGAGTCATAAGTAATAAAACCAAAGCCTCTTGGCCTTTGTGTGTTGTGATCATACATTACCACAACATCAGTGACTGTTCCAAATTGATCAAAGTACTTCTTAAAGTCACTCTCGGTGACTGTGGACGCTAAACCTCCAACAAAAATCTTTTTTGTGCGTCCAGGACTGGGGGAACCATTGACAACCCCAGTTCTGTTTAAAATGTGCTGATCCTCCTTAGGAACAGCCTTCTTTGCTTCCACCTAAAATTGGAAACAACAAACTTTACAAAACTATTGGTGCCATCCTAAATTTGCGTGTGGCAGACTCAAAATAACTAAATGCAATATGAATTGATTGATTCAATCTAGTGAGAATACAGAAACGCAAACCAAAAGGTTTTTTGTTTCGTTAACCCTAAGTGTAAACTAAGTCTAGAGAATATGATCCTTTCTAAAAATACAAGTCTATAGGATATATTGCAGCACTGCAACTAAAAATCTATAACAGAATTGACATAAAGATCGATTAGAGGCGTTACTCACTGTGCGGCAATCGATCATGTGCTTATCCATAACTACTCTTTCTGCAACTGCAGGATCCGCAAAGACAACAAACCCAAAACCACGAGCACGACCGGTTGCACGATCCCTCATGATCACAGCCTCCACAACCTCTCCATACTTCCTGAAATATTCCTTGAGCCGTTCCTCATCTGTGTCCCAGGAAATCCCACCAATGAAGAGCTTCCCATGATCTGGTTCCATCTTTTTTCTGCAACAAAACATCACAAATCCAACAACCCAATTCAATTCAACTGAAAAAGCACACTTAGAATATATGCAATTCAATCTGAATTGAAAATCCGCCTAAGAAACTTCATAATTCAATAGTTAAAGGCAAACTTTTCATCGGGATTACATTAATAAATCTGAACAGACTCCGATATTCAATCCAAAAATAGAAACAAAGAGATCAAAATGTGGATAAGCACAAGACATTACCTTGTCCAAAATTCAGACAGAACCCAGATAGTGCTCTGACTGAAACAACAATTAGGAAACGTCAAATCCAATCTTGGAACATCAGATCCTTCATGAACCAATCAGAACAACAAAGCGGACTTCCTAAACAAACAAAAAACCCAGCAAATCAAAAAATTGAGCAGAATAGTGGATCAGAAAATCAGAGAGACCCAACAATTCAAAAAGCAAGATCAACCAAAAGAAAAAAATAAAATAAAAAGCTGAGAAATTTTACCATTTGAGGAGGACCCAGATGAGAAAAAAGATGAAAGCTAAGATCTAAGGAGTGGGATTGGAATATATGTAATGAAAAAAACAGAGGAGGATGTGGTGCTCATCCTCTCTATTTCTCTCTTTTGCTATTCTATGTTTCGTGGCTATCCCACTTCCTGTCTTATAAGTATATTTAAATTTAAATCTAATTTATAAAAAAGAAATGGGGAATTTGGAGGACTTTTTATATAAATAGACTGACAATCCACTGGTTTAAGAATATTTGAAGGAGCCAAAGGAAGATGATGACAGTGGATGTTTCTTTTGCTCGAAGAAATTAGAAACAAAACACAAACTAAAAGTTTCTCAATTTCCTTTCGAAGCAACATGTTGCATTGTTGTACTACTCACCACACGCTCTTAATACAAATTACAGACAATTCAAATACAGTTGCTTGACTTCTAAGTTTTTCTTTTGGGAAAACCGTACGATATTCATTTACGAGAAGGATGAATAAGTACGTAAAAAAAGGACTTGGTGCATTTATATGGGCTTCGGTAAAATTATTGTTTGAAATTTCAACCCGGTCAAAGTAAAAAAAGAGTGTCATGCACTCAATTTTACAAGTTAGGACCATCCTGAAATAATATATCATCAATTAAATCATGAATACCTTGAACCAAATCAATTCATTTTCCACCGATAGTTCAAACCGTGCAACCTTGTGCAACCCCTAAGTTTTTTCAAAATTCTTTTTGTCCATCTTAATCCTTGGATTGGATTGCAAACTTGCATGGAAGCACCAAACTAACTTTAGACATTTGCATTTTGGCGCCTTTAAAACATGCTCGTGTAATACAAGTTATAATTAAATTTAAGGTTTTGGGATTATAATGTGTATATGTTTGACAAGATTGCCAGTGTAAATTAAAATAAAAGCAAAAGACAAAAAGTACAACCAAAATACAATTCTGGTTAAGATTTCTATGGGATCTCAAACTGTTAAATTAAGTAATGTGGGCACTTTATGAGATTTAGGGAGCTCTTAAGCAATGTGGGCACTTTACGAGATTTATGGAGCTCTTTATTTGATTTTTTTCAGAAGTAGCATACATCATTTTCCAAAACTAACTTTAATTATCGACACTCTAATTAGAATCATAAACGTGAGATCTACCAACCACCAAAACTCCATGTGGCACTAATTCAATGAAGTTTTGCAGGTATATATCCATCTCTCAAAATTTCTTAATACAGTACCCAAAGTCGTGATGTATTTATTGGTTTATAGAACGGCGATATTATAATTTATACTCTAATTAATAAGCCACATTATATTAGTCATCTTTAGTAATTAGGTATTCAATGTACGTTGAATTTAAGACATTTTACTTATAAGCAGCAATAAATATCACTAGTCGCTTTGCATTATGGTCACATTATTACGAGACTATAAATGCTGATTAGTCGCTTTCTATAATGATGAGGTGCTGTTGTAATACTCGCAACTTCTCAAACAACCGACCCTAATAAAGAAAACATATGCAAACATGAATACTGAGGAGGTGGCACCCATCGTGTTATATAAGCTTTAGAAGTAGAATGTCATTTTTTTGGGGTAAGAAAATGTCGTTTTCAAGTTATAGATCAAGGGAAGCTTGGAAGTGTCCTTTACTTGTGGCCAATTTGTTCCTTTTCTTTTGTTCAATACTCGATCGAAGGCCTATTAATTTGTTCGTTTGTGAGTTACAGTACATGGAGGGATATATAGGACCACATGCATTCCATGTCTCCTGTGACTCTAAAACAAAAGAGAGATAAGAGCCAAAAACATTTGTTTATTTGTGCATGGAATGGACGAAAGGATAAGAGTCGATGTGACCACACAGAAGGTCAGCCTCACGATCGATATCAAAAACTGAAAATCCATGAAATTGCTTACAAACAGAGAGGTGGCATTTACATGAAGGGTAAATAAAACGTACTTACGAAAAGAATTGAAACTATATGGTAACAAAACTATATTGTCGCCCATTAAAATCATCTATCTGAACTTACCTATCATGGTTACTACTCGTATTTTATCTCCCTCCTTATATGACCCAACATGTGAGAAGCAGATAAAGAAAAAGGTCCATAAGCTCGGTTCCAATTTGTTTGCCAGATCCTAAGAGACGTATGTATTATTGATTTGTCTAACTATTATGTCGGTACAATTTTGAAGAAATGTTTTAAGCTAAAAAGCATATAGACATAAAAAAATACTTTTGAAATTATTTAAATTAGTATTAAATATAAATAATTAAATGAAAACTAATAATTAAATGAAAACTAAGTATCGATGTGCATGTTAGCATGATCAAATGTTTGTTGACCTAAAAGATAAAAAGCGCGCACATTTGTGGAACAGCAGCAGCTCACCCCAACCAAATATGTGAATAAGCTAACCTAAACCTCACACAAAAATATATTGGACTTACCCAAATATTGAATAAAGATTTCAATAGTTTTAGTGACAAATAAAGAATTCAATTTCGACTTTTCCAACATAGTGCGAGTAGAAAGCAATATGTTTTTGGAAATTTCCATATGTTTGTTTCTTTCACAGAAGATATTCCAGCAATGTTGTTCGCCTAATTACATATAATTTAATTGTCACTTAGTACTGTAGTCAAGTGGTATTCTTCAGTTGTAAGTGAGAAGTCTTAGGTTCGATTGTCTTCAAAGACGAATTTGAATAACTTGCTAACATATTGTGAGGTTTAACCAACTTCCCCACTCTGTATATAAAATAATTGACAATATGATTTAATTCCAAAAAAAATGAAAAAAATATTATAATTCTTTCTTTTTCTGGTATAGAGCTTTGATATAGAGTAATTTAAATTTGAATTACAAAAAAATGAAAAAAAAATATTACAATCCTTTCCTTTTTCTAGTCGTATTGTTTTGGGGTTAAAGCTTTGATATAGAGTAATTTAAATTTAAATTACAAAAATGAAAAAATCTTGTAAATTTTGTCTACAAATTTAGTCTCCCTAACATTACCTTTCTGTATATATAGGTGTTGTGGCTTATTTTAATCTGACAAGGAAGAGAGGGTCGGCGGCGTAGAGAGAGAATAGAGAGAGAGAGATATGTTTGTAGGGTTGTGTAGATGATGTGTTATTTCTTTACGCAGTGCCTTTATTTATAGTAATAAGGGAGGGAAGAATCCTTCTCCTCCAAGGAATACAAGTTCTAATAGGGAAGAATAACTAGAATCAAATCTAATCTAAGATTTACACAATCACACTTAAATACAAAGTTTATAACACTTCACCTTGAGTGTGTAAATACTCAAGTAGATTTAGCATCATGTAGAGTTGAGAAAGTCGACTCGTCGGCACTTATTATGGGAACACGTTAGTCTCAAAGTAAAGTAGGAACTTGCATATGGAACTAAGTCTCACAAAAAAAACTCTATGGCTATGGTAAAACCCAAGTACGAACAAAACCCATAGTCTAAGGAAAATGCGTGAGAAAATGCAAAGTCAAATAAAATGTCTATGGGACGTCATCAGGGATATGATCAACCCAAGGTGGGTGCCTTGTCAAAACCACGTTAGGTAGCAAAAACCCAAGGAAAAATGCTCATAATCGTAGGGGAAATAGTACATTAAGATCAAGCAAGTATACTTCAAGATACTCCCCCTGAGTTTGACATAATTTTAAAGAGAACTAACTATGTTACAACTCAGAAAGTTTACGCATACCAATTCCTTGAACAAGCTTATGAAACGTCGCATTCAGTAGTGATTTGGTAAAGATGTCAGCCAGATTGTCTTGTGAACGGATTTACTTGACTTCAATCTTTTGATGTTCTTGCTGTTGATGTGAAAAGAAGAACTTCGGCACAATGTGCTTAGTGTTGTCTCCTTTAATGTAACCCTTCTTATGTTGTTCGATGCATGTTACGTTATCTTCATAAATCATCGTCGGGACATCAACAACGGGGTAAAGATCGCAGGAGCTTTGAATATGGCCCACAACTACTCTCAACCAAAAGCATTCCTGAGTTATTTCATGTAAGGTGAAAATTTCAACATGGTTAGATGAAATGGCACCTAAGGTCTATTTAGTTAACCTCTAAGAGATTACGGTGCCTCCAACAGTAACGACATAACCCATTTGAGAACGCGCCTTGTGCAGATTAGATAAGTATCATGCGTCAACATAACCAACAAGGTGAGAATCGACTCGAGATAAGGGGGTGTAACATCACTCGAGAATCCGTATGGAGAAAATAAGCCCAGATCCGTGGTACCCTTAAGGTAATGGAATATGTCTTTAACACTAGTCCAGTGTTTGCTTGTCAATGCATTACCATATATTGCCAGAAGATTAACAACGAAAGAGATATCGGGTCTAGTGCATTGAGCTAATTACAATAAAGCGCCTATCGCACTTAGATAAGGAACTTCAGGCTCCAAAATCTTTTCATCATCCTCCTTCAGATGGAAGGGATCTCGTTTTGTATCTAGCGATCGAACGACCATAGGAGTACTTGAAGGCTTCACTTTATCCTTGTTAAAGCGGCACAACACTTTCTGGGTATAGTTTGATTAATGTACTAAGATTCCATCCGAACGGTGCTCTATCTCAAGACCGACACAGTATCGAGCATTTCCTAGATCTTTCATCTCAAATTCTGATTTTAGGTGTGCAGAGTTCTCTCGAGCTCTTTAGGAGTTCCAATAAGGTTCATGTCATCAACATAAACTGCAACAATCGCAAAGCCGAAATGTGACTTCTTAATTCACATGCAAGGGCATAGTTCGTTGTTCACATATCTTTGACTAGTCAAATACTCACTTAATGGTTATACCACATTCTTCCGGGTTGCTTCAAACGGTAGAGTGAAAGCCTCAGCCGAATTGAGAGCTTGTTTCGGGGTTTGGAAATATTTGATCTAGTCAACGTAAGTCTTTCAGAAACTTTCATATAAATGTTTGTATCAATATCCCATAGAGATACACAGTTACTACGTCCATCAGCTGCATACTCAGTTTTTTCGAAAACTACCTAACTAATAAAGTAGCGAAAAGTAATCACATCCATAACGGGTGAATAAGTTTCGTCATAGTCAATCCTAGGGCATTGTGAAAAGCCTTGCGTAACAAGACGAGCTTTGTAACGCATAATTTCATTCTTCTCATTACACTGCCGAACGAAAACCCGCTTGTAACCAACAGGCTTCACATGTGGAGGAGCAGGAGCTACAGGTCCAAACACCTTACATTTCGCAAGTGAATCGAGTTCGACTTGGATTGCTTGTTTCCAGTTTGACCAATCAGTTCTACATTGACATTTATCAACGGAACAGGGTTCAATATCATCGCTCAACATGATCTCAGTAGCTA